TTGAAATTAACTTGGACGCCGTGGGATCGTTCAGACCGACATTCACAGATGGCTGTAAAAACTGGATCAAAAGGGATTGTGAAACAATATGAAGTTGTATTTGGTGTTAGGCTTTTTTTTTTTTTAACACCTCAAGGATCCTCTTTGAATAACCACTAGCCAACTTTACACAACTCATGGATAATTGTGATTATGTAGATCCCCTAACAGCCAAAATGTATCACAACTTTCAATTGTGAGGCCAGTGCGTTGTATATTGCTAGAACAAACATAAAATCAAGAATCTGGGCAATTCTTGGAGGCATAAGTTGTTTTGTTTCTAGGATCAATCACTTGGGAATACTAGTTGCTGGATCACAAGCAAGAGGGTTGTTTCTGCCTCCATGTCAGCCTTGCAGCGCTCTCAAAGTGATTGCCCATTTCGGGGATCAAAGTCTTTTAGAGAGACCTTTGGCCTAATCCAGCCTAAATATTTTCCTTTCCTCCTGTTTTCAGGAGATAAATTGCCCTTCTTACTGATATATCTCCCTGTCTGATGACAGCTTTCACAGCTGGAGAGGATCCCTGAAGGCTTGGACACCAGTGAGATGGCAGATAAATGCAATGAAGAAAGATCCTGTAACATCCCAAGTCATCTTTTAAAAAGAAACAAAACTGGGATTTTTTTAAAAAGTCATGATTATCTCGGGGAAAAAAAGACAACAATACTAAGCTATTGATGGTTCTTCCAAATATTACTTTATCCCAGACAGGATGCAACTCTTAAGGCAGAAGGCAAAATGAATGTTTGCATTTGTTGCCAAAGCTGAATTTCTCAATGCAATGTTGTCACTGGAAGTCACTTGATTTTTTTCCTTACGCCCACAGAAGACACACCTGCAGAATAATCACCCACTGAGCACTTATCCTCAGCTGCTGTAATGGCACAGTGCCCACCCACTCACCCACTGCAACATAGGAGAATCAAGTGTTTCACCATTGCAGCTGAAAAGCTGTGAGAGACTTTGGTCTGGCAAATCCTTTCACATTTTCTCACATTCACACCTTAGAACTGTAGCGATGTAGTGTCATTTCATTCAGATCAGCAAATGGGAGAATGTTAAAACAAATGGCTGCAAGCTGTTGTTTACACTTGAACATTAAGAAAGGAGAATGGCTATTTAGAGCAATAATGTGAGATGTTGTGACATACTGCAAAACACATGACTAATTTACAGGGTCTTCTTCCTGAGTTATGGCTAAATTTCAATAGAATTCAAAACGACAAAGCTCTGGGGATACAAACTTCATGTCAGAGGTTGGATGGTGGGGTTACTCTGTTCAATAACTAGGCTAAATCTGAGAAAGAAAGTGATCCACTCAGTATACTGGGCTCTGTTGAAAGAGAGACATATTCAAATTGGTAATACTGGTAATGATATTTCCTAGAGAATATCCTATATCATCATAGTGATATATTTCAAATGAATAAATGCTGATTTTCCCCCCCATGTATACAAACTAATAAAGTTTCTGAGTAGTCTGCCCCCCCCAATAGTTGAACGCAATTGTTCTGCCAATTTTGTTTTAGCTTGAGACTATCTCTTGTCATTATCCAAATAGTAAAGTATGAATGGAATATGCAGGTAGAATGGACTTGATTGCTGATGAGCATGTTAGCAGGACTTTGCTGCTTTCCTAGAGTCCTGAACTGCATTTCTCATAAACTTGGAAACTGATCTGTGTAATATGGATACAACTTGAGGAATAGTCAGTCTCTCACTGTGACACAATACATAGGTAAGGGTCTAGATTCGGTATGGTGATCAATGATCATGAGCTATGCAGGATTAGCATATAGCTAATGTTCAATTGTTTTGCCCTTGGACTCTAAATTAAAATGAAACTTGCTTTATTATATACCAGGTGCTCAAGACATTTTTCAAAACTTAATATAATGACACTAATTACAACCAAAATTTGAAATCGCAACACTAGTGATGAAAACATAAACTCTCTTCTTGAAATCCAGGGGACTAAAAATTTCCTTTCCTGAAGTTATCTTGTTTTAAACTTATCAGTACTGTATGGGTTTTTAAAAGCTATCAATATTATTGGGGTTTATGTGTATATGTGTAAATATTATAATTTGCATTTTATTTACTTAAATTTAATGGCCACTCAATTCCAGTGGATATCTTCTAAAGCCCAGGTATCATCCAACATCAACAAGTATTTTGAATCTTTGTAACAAGATTTGGTTGCAAGCTAGTTTGGTATAGAGGTTAAGGCATCAGTCTAGAAACCAGAGAAATCATGAGTTCAAGACCCACCTTAGGAACAAAACCAACTGGGTGACTTTGGGCTAGTCAGTCTTTTAATCCTAGAAAGACAATGGAAAATCATTTCTGAAAAACCTTGCTTGGAAAACTACAGGTACTTGTCTAGACACTCTCAGAATCGTACACAGTTAAACAGAAAAAGAAAAGAATTCAGTAGATGGCGACAGACCTGCTATAGTATAATGGGATAACTATGAAGTAATAATGATTCAAGATTTTTGTTATCTTAATGCCTAATATAGCAATTGCTGTATTAAATAGCTCCATACGCATGACACTGTATGGCAATCCTTTATGAATGATTATCCAAATCAGGTACACTTTTCTGTCTTGTTAAATTAGTTAATCTCAATGCCAGATGTCTTCCGTGTTTATGAAATATCAGCAGTTATGTTGATGTGGTCCGAGTTGCCTCAGTTTCAACTGAATTAAGTATTCGGAATTTTTAAGCAAAACAGAAAATGTCTGCAAATCTGAGGTTGTATTTGACTGATTTTATTTTTGCCTAATCACATACAGAATTGTACTTTGTAGATTAGAATATCATTTGGAAGAGGCTGGCTATCAGACCATTAAAACTGGAAATTTAAATGAATTTATATGAAAGAACAGACTGTTGATCCCTGATTCAAACTTGTTATTTCCCAATAGGCTAAATATTTTAGTTATATAGCTGCTCTTACACCTTATACTGCAATGTTGCCATGAACATGCATGGAAATCTACTGCTTTAACAGTCAATATCCTAGTCCCAAGAGTTAGTAGAATACAGTGGTTAAGGCATCAGGCTAGAACAGACCTGTACATTTTACAGCCTGTGGGCCACATCTGGTCCTTTCACTGTCCCTGTTCATCCCATGGCATCGGTGGTGCCAATGCCAGAGGGCAGGGCAGCATCAGGGGCAGGGGAATGTTTGTGGGAGGGGGGGCAGGACGGCATTGGCAGCCTTCCAAAACAACCCCAGTTTTTCATGTGGCCTCTTGGGAAAATTAATTGTCTACCCCTGGGCTAGAAACTGGGAGGCTGTGAGTTCTAGTCCTGACTGAGTCATGATGTCAGCTGCATAGTTTTAGGTAGGCCATTCTCTCTTGGCCTAGGAAGAAGGCAAACTACTTCTGCAAAAGGTTGCCTAGAAAACTACATGGATTTGTTGCCAGAAATCAAGTCTGAATTAAAAATGAAAGACCTCCATCTTTGTGGCTGACATCTCTTGGTCATCCAGATTTTTACTGCCCAGCAGATAGCCTTGCAAATGATTCTAGGTGCATCACGGTCAATAGTTCTAAATGGACAGATTCATTATCTGGAAAGGGAAAAAGACCTGTGAGAAAACCTATTTGGGGGAGGAATCTCTCGTAAGGGTATCTGGTTAGGAATAGATTTGGATGAATTAAAATGAAGACTTTAATACTAAATCTTCTCAGCGGCATGAAGAGGCTGTGTTGAGGTCCAGAACAACTGGAAGGCCAAAGGTTTCCTGTTCTTTTTTTAGAGATAGGGTTGTACTTTGTATCTATATTTACATGCTTTTCCTATGTCAGTTCTAAACCTAAAAGTCCTCTAGCATGGTTTCAAGTAACTACTATATTCTTCTTTAACCCTTTTATGCCAAGAACAACTTTCTATTAGGAGAGCTGTGAGTATAAACCCAGGAATCCAGGGCAGTTGGCCTGCTGGTTTTGATGACAACTATGCCCAAGGCAGCTGAACAAAATAAAGATCTAGCTGTTGGATTAGAGCTGGAAGTTGCAGGATCTTCCTTCTCCAGACAGAGAGTTTTTACTACTGCAATAAAATAATCTTTGTTGAGCATTTTCCAGCTGGATCTTGGGCAATCCTAGAAAGGAGGCGGTGGCAAACTTCTGGAAAAAAAAATATTGCCAAGAAAACTGCAGGGACTAATCAAGGCAATTGTCAAGAGTCAACAAATATTGAAAGGCACCAAAACAAAAAAACAAAAAAACAAGAGCTGAGGGGAGGGGAGGAATGAAAACTGGTTGTGGGGAGAGATTGAATTGCTTGAGTCCATTATAATCTCTGCACAAGGGAATAGCAGATTGGAATCCTGGACAGGAGCAATCCTGGGGCAGACAGAGGCAGAACCCACTTGTTCCAATTCTTGCACCAACTCTTGAAGGATTGTCACTTTCTGCAGGAACATAACCCTATTTGTTCTAACATTTGTGGGATTAGTGACCTTGATATTAAATAAAAAATAAATTCTAGTTCAGTTTGGGAGTCTCTCGCATTCAGTCTAATTGGGTAATGAGCACAATGTACCATCAGATGCTCTCTGACTTTCATGGTGCTCAGAATCTTCCAAAAACAAGATAGTGAAGTGATCCATTTAAAAGAAAGGCATGGGATACCTAGGCACAGAGGCTGTGTGTTGTTAATTGTGTGTGAATTCAACAAAGTATACTTGCCTTGCCTTGATTGTGTTTCGGAAGGCCTTGAAGACCTGGCTGTTTTCCCAAGCCTTGGGCTAAGGTGATTTGGAGCCCCTTGCTGGATATTAAAGTATGTGTTCTGTTTGCTGTGCCAGATTCACCATCTTGTTGTTTTCCCTCTTTTCTAGTGTGCTTTTTGTTACATACAGTATGTTATGGTTCTTATTATATATTTTTTATTCTTTAGTATAATGGCTTAACAAAATGTTTGAACTCAGTTGAAATAGGATTTTTCATCCAGGATGTTAGAAAAACTGACATTTGTAGAATAAAGAAGTGCAACAGTACCAAAAGGCTTAGGAAACATGCTGTACTTTTTTTTCTTGTTTTGAAAATATAATGTAAGCTGAAACAATATTGTCAAAGCTATCTTTCCTCCCCACAACTGACTAATGCTAAATAGCAATGGTATTCTTCTGGCTCCAGCCAGCTCCATGGTTCCAACCGTTGATATACAAGATGCGCCAACCTAGTCAAGTGATTTCATCCCTTCAGCCATGAGATCAAGCTCATAGCACAATGTTTCATAGCGGTAGGCCATCCGGATCTGCGCCACGTTGGTCCTGGAGATGTTATTACCTTGTGGCCCATCTTCATGATAGTTCTTGCCCAAAATATGGAGCTTTTCCTGTCAAAGGGATGCAATGGGTCACACATGCATTCCAATCACTTTTTCCCTAATTTCTCCAGTTAAAAAAGGAGCTTCTTTTTGTTCCTCTTCCGTCTCTGTTATCTTTTTTCCTCCCTTTGATCAACTTTGTCATATCCTCAGGTATACAGCAACTTTATATATTCCTTTGAGATTTTCTAGTAAGCCTCATGGAAAGCCAGCTTGGTGTAATGGTTAAGGTATCTGCCCAAAATTGGGAGACCATGCATTCTAATCCTACCTTGGTCCCAAAGCCAGCTAGACCTTGGGCCAGTCACTTTTTCTCAGCCCTAAGAAAGAGGCAATATCAAACCACTTCTGAAAAGCCTTGCCAAGAAAACAGCAGGACTTGCCTAGGCAGTCTCCAAGAATCAGAGTTGAATGAAAGAAACATCATACCTCATGAGATAGGCCACACTGCAGGACACTGTTGCGTGCAATCTCACACATATCACAGGTGCTGAGCTTGAAGACTTGAGCAGCAATTGCATATTCTTCCATGAGAGGCTCCTGAGGAATAAAAAAAGTGCTGAAAGGACAAATGCCAAACATGCAGCCATCCCTTTTAGCCATTTCCCATCCATTTTTATAAACAAATATCCATGAAAGGGAACTGGCTTCCTACCTTAGTGTAATGGAATTGCATGGGATCATCAGTGGAGAGAGATACCATCAGTCCCTTCTGATGGAAATCAAGGAGTGGGTTTTTGGCATACTCTAGGAAGAGACTGTTGTTGCTGAGTGGGGACATGGCAATTGGGATTTGGGCTAAGAAGTAGAGATACTGCAGCACAGGGCTCTGGGGAAAAAGACAGTAGAACTGAGTTAGTACAGTCATGAAGCAAGACTTCTAATTTCCTGTCTGAGAGAATATAGGTTTCAGGTTTGTTCTAAGAGAAAGTTGAATAATGTTTCTATCCCTCTTATGTTATTCATTACTTGTTGTTCAGCCCTTGAAAACATAAAAGTTCCAATCATTTCAGTTATATCCCCTCTTAGAAATCTATGATGGGATCTGAATACTAGAAAAATCTAAACATTTAAGGAAGCCAGTTGGACCATGTTTTCAAACCGAAGATGCAATTTTAGTGTATTACTATGCAGGAAAATCATACAAGCATTTTAAAAGGGTGGCTTCTATCTGCTTTCTTTTTCCGATTGCTACAACTCACCTTCATCAGGTTCAAGCCATGAGAAATATTATCTGCAGTCATGAAGGCAGCCAGGAGGTGGGTAAGAGAACCAGCTTCTCCACAGTGAGGACGGAATAGGAAGGTGTTCATACCACGCTTCCTGGAAAAAATAAAGCAGTCTTTATGCGTACTGTACAACTTAGGTTAATAGGATAGGAGGGTCTGTCCCACAGAGGAATCCAGCTAATTAAGACTTTATTGGATACTAACACACACACACACACACACACACACACACACGGAGGGAGGGAGGGAGGGAGGGAGAGATTTCCTTCCATTTCAAAAGTATAGTGAGAGGGGAGCAGAATGCAATTGGACATCTACATTTCAGGGTAATTCAATAATCTTGACCTTATCTACATGTATTTGTTCTTTCTTCTGTAATGGATTTGGAATGAAGACTCTTAAGAACTGGATTTAATGAAGGGATCTGATTGATGCAAATACATTCTTGAAATACATTAGGCAATAATACACTCAATAGGGTTAGTGGGTGGATATCAGAATCATCAAACTTAAGAACATTGCTTGACTAAAGGGTTAGTAAAGGGAATTCAGAATATCAAAGCATAGTATCAAAGCATAATCCTTTGCAAGCTTACCGTCGAAGATGATTCAGCACAAGGATATTGGCATACATATAATACAAATAATATGTATAGGATGGATTCTTTTCATGGTTCCATTCCTCAGGTTTGGGACTCTTGGTAGAAAACATGTGCCCACTATGTTTGGACTCATCATCTACACTATCAAAACCAGTAACCTGCAAATAATAAGAAAACATTGTACAAGATGGCCATCTTCATCCAAGATGCTAAAATCTGATAGTGGTGTAGTATGTATCTTATTTCTTGTTATTCTTAGGGTCAAGAACCCCAATTTGATGAGTTGTTAACCTGCTTTAGTTAAGGATATGCTGCCTTAAATTCAGCCTTTTTGATACAGCACTATCCCTGGTCTCTGGCAAGCAGTTTTAAAGAGCATGCCCAGTTTCCAACCATGGAATTAGGATCATGTTCTTTGTTCTGGGCAGGAAGTACTCACATAACGTAGGAAAACACTCAGTTCCTTATTGTCCTGGGGATTGATTGTTGCTTGAAACACAGGCAGGAAAATGTTCTCCAGCATCTTCCCAAAGTGTGGTAGAAAGTTCTTTGCCTTAAAGACATCACTGAGGGAAGAGAGAGGAAAGAGAATCAATTCAGCTCAGTTCCTATAGCACAGCAGAAGCAAATGGGCTGAAAAGACAGTGTACAGTGAGGATGTAAAACCTGCTGCCTCACAAAAGTCTTGGATGTATCCCTGCCCCCACAAGCTTCTCCAGAAGTCATAGTTTTTATTACAGATTGTGTTTAGATGCCACCAGATTCAACAGAAATTATACTCAGCAGTTTACAATACGAACAAGTAATAAACACAAGCAATATAAAAATGGTAAATACTGTATCACAGTGACCATTCATTCCTTGATGGCTCCCCAGAAGGGACTGGTGAGGATTGTGAGGGTTGGGTTATGGGGGCTTAGTTTTAGTTTTTGGAGGGAGGTTGGATTATGGGATATGGTTGTCTGAACACTTCAAATTATTGCTCTATTTTTTTCTTTTTTTTAAACTGTAAAGCTGCCAGAGTCGTTCTGAAATTAAGCAACCTCTAAATGTAATCCTCTTTCTTCTTCATCGTTTTCATAATCATCACCACAATTGCCATCTACTTTGAAGATGGAGAGTGTCCCACAACATGAAGGTTGCAATATAAAAATATTGCTTGCAAGTCCCAGCCTCTTTTACCTCTCCTATGTGACTATTAAAAGATATTGGTAACAGCCCTAGAAAACTAAAAAAAGATTCATGAATTAGATTCAAGGCCTTGGAGTAACGGTCAGGATTTTCCATCTCACACTTTTCCTTAGTTATGAGAAATACATTAGGAGCTAGAGTTTCCTTGGCATTCTGAGAATGGCCATAACCAGCGAACAGCTGTCAGGTTTCATATACGACTGAGCAGTAAATCTTTGCTCTCAAGACAGTGAAGCCCTTATTCAGAAATTGATTTACTTGGCAGAAGTCTTTCAGATCTTATCCTTCTTGATTAGTCTTGTTATTTCAAACAAGAATGAAGCCCTACATACACAGATTTCTCCATGGTATAAACAGAAACCAAAAACCTTATATAAATGTGCCAAAGTTCACATTTTATTTTTTCCCCTCCTGCTCTTCTAAGTCAACAGATGCTTGACTAACCTAAAATTCCTGATATATAATAGTTCTATCTAGCTGGGAATGTTGCCTCACCCGTTTCATTCCTTATGCCACCTAGCAAGGGCATGAAGAAGCCCACAGAAAAGGTGGGTAAAAAGACAGCAGAATTAAACCCAGGACAAATCAGACAAGAATGTGTACAGTATGTGTATATATTGCATTTTAATTTTATTTTCTGTTTCTTCTAAGCTACTTTGCAATTGCTTTAAAAATTTAAATCAGGAACCCAATAATGACTTGCAACTATTAAAACCTAGCTAGAGTCAAAACTAATGAAAAGTCCAACAGTTCAGCCCAAGTTTTAATCTGTCTTTTGTAAATGCTAACCTCACCCTTTTGTACTTACTAAATTCTGGGTACCTGGATCATCCATCTCATATTGGGCGAATATACACGATGTTGGGTGAACCATTTAGCTAATTTGGGCCATTCTTCTGGTGAACATCCATAGATGGAAAGTCGTGGCTCTGCATATTGGTATTTGGCATCCTCTAGATCAGAGCCAACTTCCTGATAAATCAGAATTAAAAGATAAATTATCTGCTTCCAGTAGATTTCTTCATGCTCAAATTCAGACTCAAAAATATGTATATATCATGCTATCTAACCTTAATGATGGTAGCAAAATACTCGCCATTGATGGCATTTTCAGTCTTCAGGTAGAGATCACGCAATTCACTGGCCCCCACTGGGTTATACTTGGCATTGAACTTATCAAAGCGTTGGAAAGTCTGGCGGCCCTGCAGCATAAAGGAATAGTCAAGTACACAAAGCCATAAATGCTTGTTTAATATTATGAGTGATGCACCATTTGTATGATTTACCCTTAATTAAGTAATAGAAATAGGCAGAACTTACTGCATGTACATCAAGTGAATCCACAGTCAGATCAGAGGGGTGAAGATTGAGCTTTTCAAATAGCTGCCTCAGCGTCAATGTTTCCTCTTTGGATTTGTATACCACTCTTTCACGATCTAACCGGTACGACTTCTTAATAAATCGTAATAGATGCTTTTGATTCATGCAAGCTGCAGCATGAATATGTGTATCTACCTGTTAGAGAAGCCAAAGGTCAGTTGGGAAGAATACGGTGGTTACTGTTGGGAATCCCTCCCCCAAAAACCCATCATAAAAATGATATATGATTGGATCAGCCTGCTCTTCTCTGGTGCTTCCCTGTTATAAAAACTACAACCCCCAGAATTCATAGTAAACCATAATAAGGGAGCTCTTCAGTTGTGTGCATTAAAATCACACTAATTTCATTTAGAAAATTGGTGTCTAAAAATAGAATATGTGAAACAAATGAAATAATTGGGCATGTAGTTTAGCACATCCTACCTTCCTCATTTTGGAAAGTCAGAAGATTTTGAAAGGAATGAAAGAGGAAGAGAGAGACTTTTGGAAGCAGGAAAAAAAATGAATCTTGGAGATCAGAGCTTTGATATGTGTTTTTGCAAGCAGGAATAAGCAATACTGTCTTTGAGGGGTTAACATTTTGCTCATTTGTTCACACACATACATATTTCCAAAAATCGTGCAAGAATGATGCGTCTGAAATAATTTCTATAACTGCTACATTTAGGTGCAAATGTAACAATGTGAAAGTCATTGTGAGAAATCTCTCTAGCTTTTTTATTTGACATTATGCTTTCTGATAAGGAGATAATGTATATCCAAATCTCTCACCTTCCGACAATTATAGAAGTCCCGATGGGGATTGTTCTTCAGCTCCTTCAATTCTTCCATCTCATTCAACATCTCATGTACGTTGAACTTGCAAGAGAGGAATCGAAGTCTTCGGTGGGTATAGGTTTTACTGCAACAGTCAAAAAAGAGACCACATATTTTTCCATAAGTGTCCCATAGAGTTAGGAAAAAAACATAGATGTAAAAGCAAGAAAGCATTTGCCAGTATCACCACCATCTGCCAAGCATGATGGTCCCCACTGTTGTAAACTTAATAAATGACAGCTTATTGAAGCTCACATTTAAAACTGAACAGCCGGCTCATACTTGTTACCAAGTAGGGCAACTTGGCTCTTGCTTCTTGTGTCTACAGGAAAGACACTTCTATTATACAACTGCTGCATTCAGCTATAGATCTCAAATGTCAATATAGGGCAGTGACTGTGGAATTCTGGGAACTGAAAGTTACACGTCTTAAAACTTCCAGGGCTGAGAAACACTAAACACTGATACTGTATAGGGAATTGGTGGTGATTGGTTTACCATTACTTCTTTTAATTGCATAAAATCACTTTTGGGAGATTTTGCACATACGCACTTAGCATTTTTAAGCTGACCCAGTTTCTATATCAATGATCCATACCACAAGGAAGCATTTCTAGGGAAGACCATTTTTGTCAGAGCTTTCAGAGCCCCCTGAATATGACTATTAAAAATTAACAACACAGCTTCCTGATATTTTCAGATGGGGAATGCAAGGAAACCAAGCAAATTTCTATTGAAAACACTCTCTTTTCTCTCTCATATGTACTTTGGCTCCATCTACTTTGCGATACTCAGTACCCCAAGAAGGGTGAAAAGCTGCTTTTCTCCACCTCAACGTCTTCTGCTTTAAGACACTTACACAGGCCCCTTTGCTATAAGGGTAAGCAAGAAGTTCATGTCATCAATAAAGACCTCCAGGTTAGGATAGGACAGGTCCATGGGCTCACCCCTGGCAGCAGCTTCTTTGTCAGCATAGACATATGCCACCCCTTCCTTCATTTCTGTATGGTAGTTCAGATTCTCGGGAAGATTGTCAGATCGCCAAAGATCTGCACTATCCTTCACTGGTGAGGTGAACACTAAAATCAAGCAAAGAAACACTCAAGTGAAGATAAGGAAAGGTATAGGACCTATGCCAGACATCCAAATAAATGGTTTGTTTGTTTATTTATTGATTGATTGATTTGATTTGATTTGTCAATTGCTTACAAGATACAGGTATAAGAATGAACATAGTTTTGAATACATGAGATAGACACTTATAAGAAAAATAAAAAGAAACAATAGGACAGGGATGGTAGGCACGATTGGTGCGCTTATGCACTCCCCAAATCTGTACAAATTCTACAAATCTGTAGAATCATTAGAAAATAACTTGATATTGGGGGGAAGATTCCCCCCCTCCGGTGATGCTTTCCTTGGTAAAAGGTAAGAACTTTTGCTGAGATTCTTTCTTTTGGCTTATTACATTTTGATTGTCTGACCAAAATATTTCTCTTTACCTTGCTCCTGCTTCTCTTTTTAATGTTTCTTGCAGAACTACTATATCACATGCTCAGAGTTGTTCCTATTAAATTATCTTACCACACAAAAAATCTACTACATGCTAACAACACCAGTGAATGAAACATATATTTGTTCCACCATGTAATCTTCATTCCCCTTTTTCACTCCCCCCCCCCCTGATACATAGGTAAGCAAATAAGGTTGGAATAGTTTTGCTGAGGTTGCATTTGGTTCCGGGGCCTGAGTTTGACCATACCTGTATTGTGGCTATTCTAAAAAGTAAAGGGAGAATGAGATTAAATTCTGTTATCATTAAGGAACTTTGTACATTTTTCTAGTGCTATTGGACATTCAAGGTTTTGTCCATTTGTTTGCACAAGAAACTTGTAACAGAAATTCCATCAAAACAATTAAAGTTTAAATTACATGCAATTGGTAGGGGACATTTCAGTTCAGGGTTCAGGGGTTCACTTCTCTTTCATGTACTATAGAAGAATATCATCCGTATATAGGAAAATGAGATACTAGCATTTTCCCTTCGCATTAACTATAAACCCAGAGCTGCTTTAGCTGACTATCTGCCTACCTAAGATAGCAAAGTTAGGCATGCTTTAACAGAATATATTTGCTCAGTCAAAGATGACATGAGAATCAGACTTCTGTAATTCCCTCAGGAAAGTTAATCTCTTCCACTTTTGTACTTAATAGACTGGTCTCACGGGGCCTGGCAGAAATCACATCTCACTAAGACAGGGGTCACCAACCTTTTGGACCTCAGGGACCACCAAACACATAATTTTAAATCCCGTGGACCAGAGACCCAGGGAAAATCCCCAAAAAACTCTGCAGGAAAATTCCCCACCCCGTTTTCCTACTGATCGATCATTCTTTATTTGGGATCGCAGGATACCGTCTCCAGCTCTGTTCTCAGGGGGAGAGAGAGAGAGAGAGAGAGACTTTTGGCTTCATGCAAGGAAAGCAGCAGAAGTCTTTCTTTCTCTCCCCCAAACTCTGCCAGAAATGAGTCTTTTTGAGACTTGTCATGTCGGCACAGCCTCTTGGAGCAAGATGCCCTGCAGGGTCCCAAAGACTCATTTCTGGCAGAGTTTGGGGGAGAGAAAGAAAGACTTTTGCTGTTTTCCTTGCATGTAGCCAAAAGCAGAAGAAGAAAGAAGCAGCCCAGTAGCCAGGCCAGGCGTTTGGGGCACGTGGCGCAAGTTCCCCCCTCCACCTTTTCCCCCTCCCCTCACTACCTCGTGTTGTTCACAAAGCCATGTGTTCCCATGTATCCTGGATTAATTGCTTTGGGGGGGTGCTTTGGTGGTCTCTTCAGACCACCAAAATTTTCTTGTGGACCACCAGTGGTCCCTGGCCCACTGGTTGGTGACCACTGCACTAAGAGATGTGACACAAGACAAAAAGTATCTTCATCTTTAGTATTCAATCTCTGCACCAACAGATTTTTACTATTATTGAGAATCCGGTTCCATAATCACTTGGTATTTCTGCTTTGGGAACCACTTGTAGGGGAAACTGACTGGGCTCCCTCAAGTATTGTTCACTCTAAAGGCAACTCTGTTTATTCTGTATGGACAGCCCAAGTAGCCTTCTTTTCAAGCATAGCTATATTTTCCATGTACTCTCAGCAAGGCTTGCCAATAAGAAGTTTATTCATAAGTTACCTGGCCACATCTCTTCATTGGGCTTCCATACTTCATTTTCAATTGTGCATAAGAACTGGGAAGGAGTCTTAGGGAATCGCTGGAAAGATTTCATCATATTCCTTTCTCGGATGCATAGAGCACGATACAGACCCTGGCAGACTAGTTCAAAGTCCTCCACAGATACCTACAATGTAACATATGTTAAGATTCCTAGTTCCAGATAGTTCATAATCATAAGAGCATAAGACACAAGAATGGCTGAAAACTACAATAATCTATTATGGATCTATATCAGGGGTGGGCAAACTTTTTGGCTCGGGGGGCCGCATTCACTTTTAAAATTTGACAGACGGGCCGGGTCAGCACAAGATTTTTTGGGAATCGCCCCCACCTTCCCCCCTTCTTCTCCTCCTTCCCCTCCCCTCGGAGGCCCCCTGAGTCAGGAGTTGCTACTGCCGGCACGGCTCCACGCGGCTCCAGTCCCAAGTTGCCTCGGGAAGGGAAAGGCAAAAAGGAAGAGCCGCGGCGGTGCTTTGCAACAGCAGCAGCGGCACCGGAGGTTCAGGCTCAGCGGCTCCTGGTTTTGCCTTTCCCTTCCCAAGGCAATGCAGGACTGGAGCCGTGCAGAGCTGCGCCGGCGGTAGCAACTCCTGACAGCCCCAGCCGGACACCTGAGCAGAGCCCGGGCAGAACTGCCTGTTGCTGCTGCAGGCGCTGCTGCGGGAATCTGGCTGCCCAAGTAAAGAACCGCACCAGCTCAGGGCAACTGTGAGGAGCAAGAGGGGAGAGGCAGAGAAGGAGGCAGAGAAGGAGGAGAGCACCTGGCCAGTTGGGGGAGGCTTCTTGTGCTGCGAAAGAGGCGGCTAATGATCTCCGGCTCCACTCTGCTTCTCCAACATCCGGCGCTGCCCTGTTCTGTGCGCCGGCTGCTCGGACTTGCTGGGCCTGACACAGAACAGGCTGGTGCCGGATGTTGGAGAAGCAGAGCGGAGCCGGAGATCATTAGCCGCCTCTT